ACGAGCTTGAAACAATTAGGGAATTTTAATACTGAGCAGTAAATAGTGGCCAGAAAGGCCTCGGGGATACTCCTCAAGAGTAATATTTCTGAAACTAGCTGATTCTCTTGTACGGTGCGATGTCCTTAAGCCAAATTCATTTCTTTATTTACTCTATACATTCTGTGCGATTGATGAGGGGTCTGCCCCAATAGGGGTAGGGGAGGGCAAATTGGTGAAGAGCACTCGAAAGTTTCGAAACCACGACAACCACCATACTTTTATATGAAACTATGAAAGATTATAGGGTCTCATCCAGTAAGGGGGGGCATTGTGATGCAACGTCAAGTGGCTGCCCTCACCCCCCTAGACTGCCTTCACTCCCCCTGGCTCACGGGGTCCCGTACTTCGAGAAACCTGTGCGCCAGGGGGAGTGTAGGCAGTCTAGGGGGTGGGGGGTGAGGGCAGCCACTTGATGCCCCCCTTACTGGATGAGACCCAGATTATAATTCAAGTTTTCACTGATTACGTCCAAGACTTCGTATTATCATATTCTATTATGAATAATTGAAGTACAAGTTGAGATAGGAGAGAACAATGCCCTTTTTGTTACTCATAGAATGATATGATCAGTACAATGAACCATGAATTGAAAACATTGGTGATAAAACACCATAGACAGTTTCAACAACACCCTTCCAGCCGTCTCTCCATAAGCCCATCGCTCACAATTTAAGCACGTTTTCAAAGAAAAAATCATATATGACGCATATAAAGCAAATTAGTGAATCGAACTGACCGTCTAAATCCATCAATACTAGCTAAAGCTAAAACGCAGAGAAGCGCCAACGACAACAGGCGTAACATGTCGGCACAGACTGACCGTGACCGTCGGACTTTGGCACAGTTTTATAGACGAGGGGCGGGGCCAGCGGCCAACGGCGACACACATGACCGAGGCACAACCCGGGTTACGGTTGAACTGATAAGCGCGTCGAGATATGGGAACCCCGAAATCGAAAGACCTTACGTTCAAATGACTATGAGGGTTCGAACAAATAATGGGTCTGTGTAAATAGGGGGGCGGGTGCATTTCGATGCATTAATTTGTGCGGAATACAGTTCCTCTAATTTTACGGCGAGCTCCAGGATGCTTCGCAAACTCAACTTTAACTTCGTCCTTCCACCCCCCCCCCCCACTCCTTACTCACCAACTTTTCAGAAAGGATTTCGTTACACTATTAAGGGTTCATTGGCCATGGGGGAGGGGACCTTATCAGAGACCTTCGGGATACGGGGGTTGTACTGCTGCAGCCACTACCTTGACGCGATGCTAGGTTCACCTTGCGCAGTAGAATCTGTTTTTAAACAAATATTGATTCTCTTCTGAATCACATCTCATGATGAACAGAGAGTTTTGAGTGTAGTCTATCGGGTGACAAACCCTTTCCATAGAAGCATTTCATTGCATTCCTTTCACATGTTCCGGTCTATTGCCAGGATGAAATTTATGTCAATTCTGACGCTTTCTGAGTTCACAATAAATAGTGATTTAAATGTTATGAAACACAAAGAGGCACCAAAATTTACTCCAAAAGAGTCCCAAAAGTCCACAAATTATTCGAAAAACCCCAAAAGTTTCATTAAAGAACGTTAAATCAATGTATTTCAGGCCTGAAGAAGGTGTTAAACACCGAAATATAGCAGAAGATTTCAAAGGAGTTCTTTTTGAAACTTTTCGTGTTTTTTGGAATTTTGGAGTTTTTCGAATAATTTGTGAACTTTTGGGACTCTTTTGGAATAAATTTTGGTGCCTCTTTGTGTTTTATAACATTTAAGGTCCTGATGAAGCTCCGGGAGGACGAACAATACTGAGAAAAACTAGTGATTTTCATGGACACCACATAACCATGACTACCCAAGTGGACAAAACCCTGGGCTTAACTTGACAAATACTTGTGTAACGCCTCAATAAGGCGATTCAAAGAGTTTTATTTGTGACAAATAATATTGATTTAGACAGTGATGCGCGGCTCAACGCGTTGACGGCACCGCTTCACGTTAGTAGTTTGTTTCAAGCATGTTTGTGCTACTGCCACTTCGAAAATTCGGGAAGCGGTGCAGAAGAGAAGGTAGGCGAAATCGGCACGTGCCGTGACGGTGCTCGAATTGTTATAGGAGTCGGAATCTCGCTCAGGGCCAAGCCAAGCTTCTCACCCACTCCGAGGTCCATAAATTGGTCCAGACATTTTCTGCGGAGATGAACGTCTGAATCTTACCCGGAAGTCATTGTATTGTATCCGTCCCACGTACACCGGAAAGCGGAAAAACGCGGCGCCGACGTGACATTTTAATTGTTTTGTTTATAAGGGTTTCTTCTTTCTTAATTGTTAAAAATGCTTATGACTGGTTATATTCTGGGAAGGGCAGAATGCTCAGTACACGCTAGAGCTTTCTTCCTTGAACGAATGTTGCTGGAATGAACTACACGTCCCGCGCCGCGATGGGACACCCTCAACTCCGCTAATTACACACTCACAGCTGGATGGTAAGGGAGTAATGTAAGGGCTTACTATCGCGCTCTATTTCAAAATAATTCCAGACGTATAGTCCAGATTGCTGCGATGATATCAGAGTAAGCTGAGATTTTCTACTTTTCCTTCCTTATCAGAGCTTTACAGAAGCGATTGGTGTGTGAAACTTGTGAACGTTCCTGTTTGATTTAACCTCTCGATATAGCGAATCGAGCCTTATTTCTGGTGAGAAGGCCCATTAGCTATCATCAGCGACCGTTAGTGCAATTATAAAGCGAAAATACGACTGTTGGTGTTATTGAGTGATGAATGGCCTGACGAACAGCTGGCTCTAAACTTTACGGGGCAACATGTGACCAGCACGAATTCCTATAAACGCTGAGTCATGGGAGATCCCGTTTCATTGCTGCCATGGTCTGATAATATCTCACAACGGGTTCGTGTGACAGGACACCATAGTATAATAGTAAATGCTTAATTGCCGTGAAATTCGATTCTCGCATTTTATGGATTTTATAAAGATCCAGAAACTGTCGAATATTCTACGAAGCGATTAAAAATCAAGCCAATCTTCCATTTGAAGTCAGACGAGGGAGTCTGGCTTCTGGAATAAACGAAAAGAGGATTTTTGGAGAATTTGAATTTTTTTTGCAAATTTCAGAAAATTCTGAAGTTCAACGCAGTACCCCGCAGCTCCGCCAGGGCTAACCGTCTGGTGGTAATTTACGGACACGAGCGTCGAATTTGATCTGCAGAAGGGGAAGCAGTGTGGCAAAGTGGGAAAGAAGGACAAACTTCCAGTTACCACTGTTAAACTCTCTGACACTCTCTGACTGTTAATCAAAGACGATTGAATTGCGAACTGAGAGCAGCTAACAAATTCTTCCAGAGAAACCCTGATGCTTTCACAACAAATCAAAGTGGAGTGAAAAGCAGCAAAGTCGGCAGATTAACTTCTAGAGCCCTAATAGAAAATTCTGGTGGGGGAAGGTGTCCATTTCGAACCTTTTCATAAGGTCTAGCATAATCTATGAAGCGTAGGTCTTATTCTTAGTTTTTAGCTTCTCATTACACCAATTGAAGGGACTCACAAGGAAAGGCTCCCAGGTCGCCATGGCCATTCGAGAAGAGATGTATACGCCTAAGTGTGCCTTTGAACGCTGATCTCAAATCTACCTTCCAAATCTGCTAAACGATTCTCTGAACGGAGTTATGAAGCAAAACAGCGCAACGGTAGTGGTCGGGGATTCAGTCAACGTACGTCATAGGATCAGTAACATATCGTGATTCCTGTTTTGCATTCTTCAGGAATACAGAATTGACGGACAACTCTTAATAGCCTCATTTATTAGAGTCCTGAGAATGGAATGCAAAACAACCACGATAAGGGACGGATCCGACGACGTTTTGACTGTAAGTCCCGACCACTACCGCTGCGCTATTTTGCTTCATAACTTCGTTCAGTGAATCGTTTAGCAGTTTTGGAAGGTGGATTTGAGGTCAGCGTTCAGGCAAAATCTAAGCGTTAGAAATCTCTATTCTCGAGATGGGCACGGCGACCTAGAGGGCCTTACTTGTCAGAGGCGTAACAAATTCAATCGATTTGAAAACTCACATTTCTGGAAAACGGCCCAAAAGAGCCATAGAGGAAAAAAACGGAAAACGGAACGGGATTTTTTCAAAAGAGTGGTGCTCCAAAAGAATTGCGCTACTTTTTCGGAAGCGTCAGTCTTGTAGTTCCTAATTAGTCTTAGAGATCTGCAAAACTTTAAAAATGAGAGAGCAGTTATTAACGTTTGAATGATGAAAATTTGCGCATTCTAGAAAATCGCGCGGCTACAGTTGAGAAGGAAAACCTTGTATAACGAAAATAATTTGAACATGGTTCGAAATTTCGCTTTATTTCTCAGACCTTATTTGTCGTCAGATCCGAAGCTCATTAGTGAGTCAATGGGATTGGCATAACGAAAACAATAAAAAGACCTACGACGAAGAAAGACGAAATAAACTAAACCCCATAGAAAAAGAAGACAACAGGGAGTCATAATTTATATACAAAATAGTGGCACCTAATCAAAAAAACAAGTCACCCTGACGAAGTGCATACCACTTCCTTTGGATGCTAACGTCAGCGGAAAAATGTGACAGAAGCAGAAAAACAAAGGAACCGAAACTTATCGGACAGACTTTAACATTTGACACCAAGTATAACAATGCTTGTGAATCGACAAATTAAGTGTCAAGATTTCATTTTCCTTATACAAGAAGAGAAAGAGTAAGGATTTGAATGGGGGTTCGGCAAATAAAATTATGTACTTTCACCCCCCGCTGGATTCAGTCTTCATTCAAAAGGGAGATTTGAAAGCTCAGAGAAATTTTGGCGGTTTTCTGGGAGTAGTTTTTTTTTTTGCGTATTACAGACACAACACTCAGAATAGCTAACACTTGTTCCGTATTTGACACATTTACTGATAAACTAACGGAGTTTACACGAGTGTTACTAGGAAATGGTTATCATGAGGACTTTATTATATCTAATATAGTTAAGTGTATTTATAAAAATAAGTTTATATGCTATAAATTCTCAATGGCTAATAATTATAAAAATGTTAATAAACTATTAGGTTGGAAAGAAAGTTCTGCAACACTCTTTCCAAAATTTTCTTTTTTTCTGAAAAATTCATAGGTAACATTTATGACTACCAAATGATAGAGCATTCTCAAGGCTTCAATCCACGAGGTGGATATAAGTTCTGCAGTGAGTAGGTATCCAAGAAAATTCAAAAAATCTCGACCACTAGCAAATCCGTACTCCGAGTCACTGTCTAGTACAAATGTCTACAAAACCATGGATTCGTGTCAACGACTGACACTATCTGCAATAGCTTCTAATGGCATGCCGTTCAGCGATACAGCGTGTTTCACCTTTACCAGCGCTTCCGATCTTTTGATATTTTTATAAGAAGCCAGCAGCATCCCTCACACTCCATTACAGGTAGGGCTCTTACAGAAGCTCCACTACATACCCTTCGTTATGGGCACCATTGTGTAGGCAGTGGCCTAGGTTGTGGAGTACCAGAAGCTGGCCGAGGTAGCTCGTCAAGAGCCCTCGTACCGCGACAATATTCATTTCTTTCATGACATTGCGAATCACCATGATCCGAAATGAGCCCGGTAAGAAATTCTGGAGTTGCGGCAAGATTTCTTTCCTCTCTTAGCGTAATCCCCTGGTCGAGCTGTAAATAAGTGCTACCTATCCTGGACCTTTAATCATCATCTTTATAACGAAATAATCAGACGATCAACTCCAACTCGAAAGTGAGGTCGCCTCCT